TGGCTCATATTGTCGACAGCGGACATAAAGTACATCTGGAGGGTAACTTTAGAGTAGTAGACAGATGTCTGCCGTACCGGACAAATATTCAAGGTCTCCTTACACTCATAACCGCGGAATCCATTTGTATTCCATCATTCGGACCACGGTTATGCTCTCAACAGAAATTAAATTAAGGCTGTTCACATTCCCTGGCCCGCGAAAGCGGATGATAATGAGGTCTATGGTGCGAAGTCCAGAAAGCCCGTAACTTTTAATTAACCGGTGTTGCATTTCTTACGCGACGGAATTGTATCAAGTATGTCTATGTAAATTTGTAACCCCATATATATATCATTGTATCGGTCTGAAGATGAATAATGGAAAGCGATTACTCACCAGGTGGTTTCTGTTTTCTCATTGTAACTGCCAAACACTTCAGAGAGAGAGGGAAGGAAAAAGAGAAAAGAAGTGGATTGATGCATAAGGAAACGGTGACATTAAGCTTAATGGAATGTCGCCTGTAATAAGGTGTTTACATACATATCCTAGATAAGTGCAGGATGTAGGAAAGTGTATTTCACGGAATGCCGCGAACATATGAATGTTACGGAAATGGAATGTTATTGGCTTATGGAAAGTGTGCAAGTTAATGGAATACAGTACAGGGAGATGTTTATACGAGAAAGCGAAACATTAAGGTGACATTTAAAACCCACGGCCTTAAATTAAGAAACTAACCGCATGCTTGCATGCGGTTAGTAAATGGAATTCAGCGTGTCAACAAACGCCGCGGCGGTGCTGCCAACGTTCACTGCGGGAACCGTCGTCGCTTCCGCAGTGTTCCCGAGTGACCCCCCTTCATGGCTCAGTACGCCTGCCTGACTCAGTCACTCGGGACCGCATATTCTACAGCACGCTGCGCTCCATGTCCATGGAGTACACTTCATCGGTGCTTGCCGCTTCCGCAACCGCCGCTTCTTCTGTGCATGCATGAGAGCTTTCTCCCGCACTTCAGCAACTGCCATCGTGATTAGATGCAGCCATGCAAGACGATCAACCGCTATGGAATGGGATTATCTGCAAGCTAGAATAGAGCGTTTGAGGCTCACTTTCATCATATCCTGGTTGGGTAACTTCCGTTTCCCCACATGCGGCTTCCCAATACTCAGCTGACGGTATAAAAATGCCTTTGTTATCCGCGTGGAATGCATACAGATCCATAAAATTCGTCGCAGACACTGCGGATGTAACCGCTCGAGATACTGCACATACCGACGGTACATCGTCCACGTATCCCTGCGGTATAGAGCAACGGACAGTACCATGGATTTGTACACCATCAGATTTGTGCCAATAGTAAGCTGATGGTTGTTCCGCATTCGGTACGGAAGCTTCCCCAATGCCGCTGCTGCGTTCGACAGGGCATTAAGCAACTCAAGGTGTTGCTGCTGATCATAGTCGTCAGCAGACAGCAACATACGGATACTTGTGTCACAGAATACAGTTCTCGTACCGAAACGACGGATGTTCAGCAACCCACCATGAATACGGTGCTCCACACGAACACCGTAAGCACAAGCGGCATCAAAAGTACAAGACATCATTGCATGATGACATATATTAAACATGGCAGTCCACATCACCAGACAGGCGTGCAGCCATCTCCTTATGCAGCTCAGTACGTTTCGCCACAGTACCGATGGAAAGCTTAATAAATTTACGCAGATTCACCGCGGGAGTGCAATACATCGATTCACTTAAATATACGTACAGTTCGGTCCGCACCCACTTCGGTTCAGTGCCACACTCAGCTTCACGCAGTACCCCTTTCATGCTCACTTCAAGCATATCACGCTGATGTACAATGACATAGTGGAGCAGGTGAGTGTGAGCACTCCGTGTGTGCGTCCAAGTTGCTATATCACGGGAAAGCATCCGTCTCAGTATGTCATCAGGTCAGTGCACATCCGCTGATTGATAACAGCGCAGCTGCCCCTTACCTGTCTGTAACAATTAAGTAATTGTTCTTCACCTTCCTTACCGGCTTATCGCTATCTCCAGCTACCTTCGTAGTAACTCATTACCACGGTAACATAATGTGACTACCTGCGCGTTGCTGTGTCTCAGCATCAACGTTCAGAACTATTTATCAACCCCACTGAAGGCTTGCCGTTCTCGCCTTCGCTGTCCTTGCATCATGTAACACTTGCTCTCTTCTGTGCAGCCAACAACTCAGGTAGTGCACGCGCAACGTCACCTTTCTATGCGTTCATTTACGTATTCCGCACTACATCAACCACACCGATGTCTACTGCATTTTCTCTCTCTTTACGGGGTAATCCCGGCACGTGCTTCCTCGACAAACGCACAGCTGTCACTTTCGCCTTTGCGACCAAGGTGGCTCCGTGTCCCACGTTTAGGAGCACACTATTAACGTTACCTGTGGGTTCAACTGCAGCACAAAATCACACATGTATCCTATTTCTTACCTGCGATGACATATGACAGCGCGAAATGGAATAACATTTCTCCGTGTGTACGCGTTCCAGTGATAAACGACAACCATGAAGCAACGGAAGGAATAACTGTGAGGATGCTTCCATGAAATTTTACGTCCTGTAAGCATGCGTAACACACATTTATCTAGGTACATACCGGTACGTAGGAGCACATGCCCTGCCATTGACTTCCGCTGCATACATGACAACCGAATTACGGTGCCTAAAGGACCGTCCGTAAACGAAATACTAGGAGTAACTTACCGTTGCACGTTTCCTCCGTGCTGCAGATCTATCGGTGCATTGTTCCATTGAAATTAGAGGTGTTGATATCAAGGGGAAAAGTAAACACAGCATGCTGTAAGGGAAATGCAATCACCGTTAGGGCACAGATAAAGTACATACCTGAGCCGTGTGCCATGCAACGGCGAGCAGGCACGTAACGGTTACCTTAGGACGAGCACGAGAAGCACAGAAATTCGTCCGAACCGGAATAGCACACGCAGGACGCGTGGTACCAGTGTGAGCACGCGTCGCACTGGACCCATTGCACCGAATCTCCATGGCCATCAACATCCTCCTCTTGCTGACATACTCCGCATAAATCCTCCGAAAGGAAGCCCTGAGTTCCCCGTCTCTGGCTCACAGGAACACGGTAGCCCGTGGATGTCCGAGTGCGAAGGTTACGGAATCGTTTGCCCCTTAGCGCACTCTTATCCGGGCTAACCTCTGTCACCCTGCACTTAAGGGGCGATTTGCGTTTCCTGGACACACCTGTGGATGTCGATGGAACAGGTGTTTCCGTTTCATTCGCACGCACCGCCTCATTCACTTGCGTACCTTGCGAAGGGCCAACCGCTTCTCCTGTCGATGTGGAGCATACCGCAGACGCGGAGCCACCAGCAGACGTCCCTGCAGTAGGAAACCCGCATAAGATGCGCACGTTCTCCTCGGTATCCAAATGAAGGGGTACAGGCCACCTTGACGTTCGCCCATACAACTGAAAAGTGGGGTCCTTCGACATCAGCAACGCAACCATTTTTAGGTAATTCAAGGCACCAGAGAAGTTCTGCGATCCGTAGGTAACCAATTGAGCGCCAATGTCCCCTAAGACATGCTGCGTCCTGCGAACTTTCAACGTGCGGTTCACAACTGCATCGCCATCCACCGCGTTACGTTGCACAATCTGCACCCTCTCAGCTGACGCAACGGACTCCGATGACGCTGCTGCAGGTAGCCGGGGTGCGATCCAGCGACATCCATGGAGTATGTTCCGCGCAGCGTGAGGGTGACGCGCCGCCACATTACAAATGGGAGCACATGGCAGCCGCCACTGCCGATTAAACTCACAATCGCATTCACTGCCCCGCGTTATGTACACTCGGCGCACTCTCGAACGAGGACAGTTAACCAACCAGTAAGGCCTATCAGCCCTACAACTGAGAACCGTCGACGTACGGAAATGCTCCATGAAATCATCGCCCGCAAAGTCGCTTAGTTTGCAGAATACGGAAGCCACTGAGGACACCTCCGATGGAACAGCAATTGTGCTCATGCACCGCCTACCTAGTATGCTGTTCCTTCGGTGCACCAGTGTGTTGACCCTATCAACCACGCAATTGAACAGGGTGAGTAGGGAGGACCTCTCCGACAGGTATTCCTTCAAATGTCGGTTTTCATTCTCTACTCTGTTGGTGGTGTGGCAACCAAAAAGAATGGTATCCCTGAGTCTGTGCGCCGCCCAAGAGTCCGCGTGGGGAATCCACGTCGCGCACAAATAACGGTACAATTCAGGAGACGCCCTGCCCACCGCGTTCAATATCCTGTCAAACACCGAGGCGTCACGTGTGTATATGAGGTTATGGAGCCAACCTCGTAATTGCATTCTACGCGGATCAGAGATCCCGCGTAAGCAGCCGAAACGTCTAGACATGTCCACTTTAACGTGGTAACGACAAAAAACCACCTTCGCGTTCGGATAAAATCGTCCGAACGCGCGGATCTGAGCGGCGCATTTATCCATCACCACCGTGTGGCAACGTAAAGTGCTAGGCACCATATCCCGCATCGCCTCAACCGCTGCCCATAGCTGTAGGATGTCTCATCCGGTAATAGGGCGTAGAAAAAGGAAATACCCAGACCGGTGAGATCGACCAGAATGCAGTGCCACAAAATGTAGCCGTCATAATTCAGTTGATGGGTGGCATCGCATAACTGCACCTCACTATAACGACTTACAATGCCGCCAACTAACGATGGAGAGAAAAAAACGTAACGTATTTGACTACCCTCCGACACCAACCGACACGCACCGTGTCCTTGCAACATCGTTGCCACATCTGACACTTCACAAGCATTCCCATTCCGATGACGAATCCGCAAATTATACAGGTCAAGAAGAGTTAACCTTTTTCCGTACTCCAAGTAAATAAAATGACGCAAATCCGGGGTACTATGGAAACTACCCATCAAACGCAGAACTTCCCTCTCTTGCTCCTAAGAAAGACGACGGTTCGCTGCATGCAACCATGGGTTGCCCACGTGAAAATCATGACTATGCGTCATGACGTAACTCCCCACGACATATTTCCCATCTTTCAAAACCACGGAGAACCGAGCCTTGCAATCGTACGATTTGTATCTACAGGCGTTAGTAGCCTTGATGCAAAAGAATAACACAACTTACCGCTTGCCACGTGGTGCTGAACGTTTACGATGAACGCAACGGTACATGATGTAACCGCAGCATTCCCCATCGGGAACCGGCTTCCTCCTTCCACGATGGTATGCCGCAGCAGACTTGGAAGATGCACGGGAAAAACAAGTCGCCGTCGCAATCTGAAAACGTCCCAACCGCGTCACAAGGTCCTCAACACTTTCATACTTCCCAATAACCATAGACCTGAACAGCTCACTATCATCAACAACCATGGCGATAGCAGGAACAACCAGTATGGCGACCGAAAAAACAAAACAAACACTCGTACATGCACCAATACGGGGTATCATTTCTACAGCATCGCAACTCACATACATTGTCATTTCCCAAGCCCTCTGAAACCTAGTTTACCATTTTTACACATTCATCCACCTTGGCAATGGCGCTACGCAACCGTTGCTATGTACAATTTGTACCACGGAACCTACGGAAACCACACAAGTTTTTCCGACCTCCGATCACACAGTCCCCTTCGCTGCAATTACTCAGTTTGGAATTTTCGTGGTAACGTTACCATGGTTACGGTGAATTACTTTACGGCAAACGTTACATTATTGTAACACTGTACAAATATACGCACTTCCTGCTTTTTTCTTATCGGTATTTTAATAAGTAATTCTCAAGTCTCGTGATTGCCCACTTGATGCCTGCTGTTACATTTCACCTTGGCCCATAGCAAAATTTCCGCCATTCGTTAGAGTCCAGCTCTGTGGTTCATTCGCACTAAGCTTTACGCTAAGCCAACAAATATCGCGGGCACTATGACTGCGATTAGTCGTGCGACAATTTGGTCTTACAGAATTGCTGCCAAAACCTCAATGCTATTCAAATGGTGATCAATAACAGTGTCCCAGGAGGCAGTGGGTTCTCGCCTGGCAAGCGTTCTTTCCATCAAAGCCGCAAATAGACGTTTCACAACTATGCGCTGTAACTTATTCGACTGGGGGCTGAAATGAAATCACTCCCCACTGCTTCACACGGAGATTGATCTTAATACCCAATATTCGCAAACACAGCGTGCTCAACATATATTCTATCGGGTTCCTACGCTAACGAAAAGATGGAGATCATTCTCCGGAACAATTCGGAGCCTCACGCAGCATTTCCGTAACAGAAACACTGTGAGGTCTTACAGCCCTTCGGCGCCACAGTTTTTTGACACCAATAAAAGTGCCCGTTATCCTTGCGTCATCATTATAAGAAAAATATGCACTACTTTTCGAACCTTGTATTTTGAAAACACTTATCTCTGTTGTTTTGGTGTACTTACGCTTATAGCTTTTCTGTGGATCTGAAAACCCCTTGAGTATGCCTGCACTGGCGTGTCTCCTTCCATCGAGAATACAACAAGGTCTTTCTTGGTTAGTGATATATTTCGGTCAAGGTAATATGCTTAGGGATTCGTCAAAAACACTGAAGGGGCCGGTGTAGGAAGGCAGAAGTGCACGGCGTCATGTAGCTGGGCAGACGAAAACGTGAGTGCAGGTAGGGCATCAACTACGCATCTGCACACTTTTGGTCTGCTCTCGAGAAGGGGTCGGGCGCAGCAAACGCATGCGTTGAGAAATGTCAGCTGGGACGTTGTGTGGTTGCGTATACAATGGCAAGTTGGGAGAACAGAACGCCGTTGGCAGCTTCTGCGTCCTGCCGTAAACTAGCTCTACTTGTGCGCTCTGCATGTCAGCTTTGATGCGGCTGTGATTAGCTGGAAGTACTAACGGTATGCATTCTCTACAGGCAAAATCAGAAGTGGCACAGTGAGATGACTTAAGCTATCGGTGAATGCATTCGACTAGGCTATGCGCCGCACGGTTATATCTCGTCGTGTAGATACGACGACAGCCTAAGAAGTTGCATGACGTATCGTATTGCGAAGTTTTGAACAGAGTCCTGCGGTCTATAGTGATGGTAGATGGGCATCCGTAGTTGGAAACCCTATGCTAACAAGGCAAAATAGACTGTTTGGCCATCCCTGTATCAACAAGGATGCCTTGTGGTCATTTAGTAAAGTGGACGACACATATGGCAGTATGTATACCGATCCGCGATAGGGAGGCATGAGTTCTACCAAGTTTAAGTGTACGTGCAAGCCCCACGAATACGGAGCAGGGAATGAACTTAGAGGACTGCGGGTGTGTCGGTGTTGCTTGGAGTGCTGGCAGTAGACACAATCTTGGGCCTACTTACGAATAGCTAATTTAAGCTTGGCCCACCAAGACGCTTGATGACCAATTTTAAAGAAGCTCGGGTACCAGGGTGAGATGGGGGAAGGTTGACGTCGAATAATTTCGGTTTGAAACAGGCGGGCACGATGGGATTTGAACAAATATTGGAAAGGTCGTAAAGGACGGTCCTGCCCGATGTTTGGAGCAGAGCTGGTTACGCATGCATTGAAGTAGACTGCAGGGTGCACTGGAGATCTTTATCTTTGGCCTATGTTAGTGTCATGGCAGCAAGGTCGACAGTATGCAAAGAGTGAGGAGTGAGGTTAACGCAAGAGAGTGCGTCAGCCACGGGGTTTGCGACACATGAGACATGACGTATGTCAGCAGTGAACTACGTGCCAAACTCTAGGTGCCTGTTTACCCGTGGTGCATATCTGTCTGAGGACTTAAATTCGAAGGGGCTTTTGTTCAGTGTAGACCTTGAAATCCCGGCTTCTAATATGTGTCGGAAGTGACGAATAGCTACGTAGACGCTAAGCAGTTCTCTACCCGACTTGGTATAGCGGTATTTCGCTGTTTGCCGGGATTTGGAGAAGAAACAGTGGTTGTCACTGCCCAGCAACAGGTTGATAAAGAAAAGCTTCTACCGCAACCGCGGAAGGGTCAGTGGTCGGAAAAACGGGAGCAGATGTTTTGGAGCGCTCGAGTAGAGCTATGTTAGTGGTAGCATCAAGGTGCTCGGTGAAAGACATGTGTGCTGTTTCAAAGAAAGCAAACATACGGTCATTTCCGCTGAGGTCAGTCAAAGGCAGCATGCGTTGAGCGCAGCGGGAAAGTCAGCGCCGTTGGTAGTTTACTGGAGTACAATCTCGACGTAGTTGCATAAATGAAGTCAGGGTTTGGAAGTCTTTTCTGGCTTGAACCTTGTCTACAAGGACCTAGATACCAGAAGATAAGACGAGGTGGCCTAGAAATTCTACTGGGCAACTTCGCAATTAGTTGGCTTGATGTTGTCACTGTGTTGGGTGTACCGCTGGAGGAGACTGCCGGTGAGCTAAATGCTCTTCGTCGGACCAACTGGCCACTAGAATGCCTTCGTGGAAGGGACAGGCGAAGCCCAGATCACGGGTAACATCCTGGATAAAGCGCTGAATACTTGTGCAGCCTTGTGCAATCTGAAGTGCAGTTTTGAAAATTTGAACGAACCAAATTAAGTCTGCTTAAGGTATGTCATTTCGCCTACCAGGTAGTCGATGATATGCTCGAAAGAGATCAGTCTTGCTATAGGCCGCCTTAGTTATAAGGCATGCAGTGCGGTCAAGCATGTTGGATGGGGTATTTGTCGAGGACGGTAAGTTTATTTGAGACTCGGTAGTCACCACAAGGGCGCCAGACTCCAGTTGTCTTTGGGAATAGCTAGATTGAAAGGGGATCAAGAGCTATCTGAAGGGCGGATTATTTCAAGTTCGTGCATGTGCTCAAACTTGGCTTTAGCTAGCTTCTGTTGCTCCGGCAAAAGTCGGCGCGGGTATGATGAAGCAGGTAAGACATTTGTTTGGATAATGTGCGCGACCACAAATGCCACCGATGGAGCCTCATTCATTGGCTGAACGAGCTTGGGGTACTAAGCAAATAGCTGTATCTTTAATCTGTATTGGAAAACCAATAGCTTGGGTTGACTATTCAGTTGTTCACCTGTTCGCGGCGCTTAGAATTTGGTTTGCAAAGGTTTCACCGCCCTGCGAAGTGGCATCATCAGTGTATTGATGCGCAGAGTGTAACCACGTTGATTGAATTGTCGCTCTGTAATCGGAGTGCTGGTGACTTCTTGAAATTAAGGCTGCTACTTTCGCTCCAAAATAAGAAAATCTTTCTAGTCTGTCGAAACGATCAGTATCCTGTCGGCAGACATGTTATGGCTGACTGTTAAAATGGACGTTGCGGAATATACTGAGAATGCTTTAGTTCTCTTGAAAGATACATCCACGGCAGTAGAAGTGCAGTTTAATAGCCTACTTGCCAAAACGAGAGCCTTAGTTAAGCGTTTATCTAGCAACGTTAAGGGTTCGATGTCTAGTCTAGTTTAGGGAACGGAAGCCGTCGCCTAAAGCGTTATGGATTAACAAAGTTTTCGGTGTAGTTTTGGTGGATAAGTCTGATTACGTCAGTAAGATGCACCACATACCTAGCGAGGAATGTAAGTTTCCAAAGCTAACATCAGGATATCACACAGTAGAAATAGAAAAACAGCAACTAGCTGCCTTAGGTAAATGATGCAGGCAAACTACCTCACAACAGATGAACGTTTAAGACGTCGGAGCCTTCAAAGTTTGTCGTGCTTTACGACTCACCTCTTTGGAATTCAGCAACACACAGGTTCTTACATCGTACATCTTGCTTTACAGGTTCCAGTTCTAAGTAAACACTCGTCCTGCAATGCAAATCTGCCTACGCGATATTTAAAGTCGCAACGTTTGTCTACGCCCGCCACTCGTGCATTTTCAAACGGTTGTGTTAGCCGAAACAAGCTGAAATGAATTCATAAACCGTGTAACAATTTCGTTAAATAAACCTCTTTATAGATGGAGCGTTGCTCTTCAGGGCAAATATTTGAGAGCTCTGGGAATCCCAGTTTTGCTTAGCACTAGCATCCGCTCGTTCACGTGGAAATTAAAGGAACATTCAAACATCGTTTCCTCAAGTGTTTTCGCAGCTTGGAATCATTATGTTGCAAGAAAGAAGGTTTCTTGAAGAAAGGTATGATGCAATCCTATCCATGGGAGAAATTAATCACCATCGGTTTGACTGTTCATGCAGTATCGAAACCCAGGTTGTGGAGTACTTATTTACACCAATTCGCCTTGGTGTTTTGCTACAAAAGGTGTCTTTTGTGCCTCTACGCAGTTTATCAATGCTTGAGTACTACAATGTATGCCGAGGTGTTTGAATGGCTGCCGCTAAATATTGTTGGCTAACATCTACATATCCCTCACCTGTCCCAAACCTGCAGCCTAACCTTTTCATGATGATTCTACTGCAGCTATCAT